GGCCAGTAAGTGGGAGATACTTCTTTGCCTTAGGCTGAGTGTGGGACAAGTTGGAGTTTTAAAGCAGGAATTTAAGGAGCACGTGACACAGGGAAAGAAATTGCAATGAGAATACTGGATTCAGTGCAGGAGTGGTATATCTTCTGAAGTCATGGGAAGTATTTGCTTGCCCATGAGAGAACTTTCACAGCTGAGGGGAAATTCCATCTCCTGAATCTGAATCCATGGTATGTGGTGATAGTAGTGCACTATCTGGTGTCTCGCTATCAGCAAAGTGGGCATACTGAAGGCCAGAAGGCAGCATGATATGGAAGCCCTTCAAGTTTACATTTGAAGGCTCATGCTGTGCTGTCTGCAACCACAGTAATAGATATGAGTTAGCACAGAGAAAGACAACAGGCAGCTTTTGACTCTGGAGATGCTTAAGCATAGTTTAGGCATCATCCATGTATCCTTCCCACCTCCAGCAGCACTAGGCAGCTAACGTTGCCACCTAGCAGCAAGTCACCTATTCTGAAGCAGAACTAGATATCTACACAGTAGTTGGAGCAGCCATCAGATGGCAAGCAGCAGGAGGATCGAAAGGCAACATTCTGTTGCATGAATGGCTTTGAATGACAGCCACTTAGCATGGTGGAGGATGTTGAATTGTGACACATCATTGCCTCAATCCCCTTAAGCATTATCTTCATTGGCAAGTGTTCCCCATCTCCCTTTTGTATCAATGATACAGGAATGAAGTGTCAGGACCTGCTGCTTGACATCTGATGTCTGCTTTATCTCATACATTTGGTCCAGATGAGGTGAAGTGTGTGCTTTTTATCATTCCTGCAATATGCACTGCTAGAGGTAGGGTGAGAATGAAGAGCTATTTGCTGCTATAAACCCCGACATTCCCATGTACAGGTCCCAAACACCAGCTGATGCCCCTGCATAGCAGCTTCCTCTCCTTTCCCAACTTCCTTGTTCATTCCACCACAAGTAAACATTAAAGTGGGGTGAGATCAGCCAGCATGGATAAATATGCCATAAAGTTTTAAATGTTTGGGTGGAGGGAAACAATCCTTGTTCCTGACTGTCTGCAAGGCTAGTTTCAGCATAGATAACATAGATTTATAAAAGGAGATTTATTAAAAATAATAGTAACCTCTCTAATGGGCCAAGTTAAATTAATATTTTCTGCCAATATGTCCTGCCCTGCAGGAAGTAATTGACTGAAAGGGTTATATATTGCATGAGGAATAAAAAACAGCCAGACACTCATTCTCCTCACATTCCTTTCAATTAAAATACCTATACTTCTAGGACAAATTATTTATAACTACAAGGTCTGTGCTGTAAATGCACAGAAAACCATTACACTAGTATTTCAGATTTTTGCAGCCCAAGAGGCTTGTTGTGAATCCCAACTGTTTCCCATGATTAAACATCTGAAAATTTCATGTTTTGTTTCTATTGAACTACAGTTGGTCCTACAGGGGTCAACATATTTTCCAGAACATAGTGTTTTGTTTTGGAATTAGAAACAAAACACATTTTCCAATCCTACTTTACACTTTCTTAAATTGATCCTCATTTGTTTCTTGATCATTTACCCAGTTTAAAGAAATCCTTCTGGAGCCTTTCCCAATCACTTTTGGTTTTTATTAACCTTAACAGTTCAGTAGTATCCACAAATTTGTCGAGTTCACTTATAATTTATGAAGAGGTTAAAAAGCATCACTCCTAAAGCAGGTTGAGGAACTCCACTTCTCTGCAGTGTGAAAACTGAAAATTTAGTCTTTGTTTTTTTTAATCAGCTAGCAAACCATAAAATGAGGATTACATTAACTCGTGACTGTTATAGTCTCAAGTATACAGAATTGACGGTCAACTCCATTCATGCCTGTTCAGGCCAAGAGGAACAAGATGGATTCTGCTGCTGTGGAAGACATAGACTGGACTGCAACAATAATGCTGGAGAGGTTTCAGATTAAGTTGCAAAGGTAAAAAATATATTGTTGTGTTTGTTGCCGAACTGTAGTATATTCTGAAAACCTTATTTATGTTGAGTTTTCAGGCTGCAGGCCAAATATGAAGACTTCTTTTTTAGTGTAGCTGGAATGAATGAGATCACTGCTTGGTCAGCCTATGACGAGTTGCCATTACTAATGTTCTAGGGGATTAGGGGACTAATTCATATGGTTTGTCCTAGTGGATCTGCTCAGTTTCTAATAAGTGAATGGTCTTTTCCTCTCAGCAATATGGCAGGCAGCTTTGACATGTCTCTTGATCTGTGAAATTTAGAAATAGTGAGGATATTGGTTGAGATGCCCCCATGTCTGCAGTTCCTAAGGGGCTCCAGAGATAAAGTGGTTGAGGTGACACCTAGAGTGCCAGTGTCAAACAATGAATGAACACACAGATACACTTCTCCTAGAGCAACAGGTAGAGGCTGTAGCTGAGTGGCCTTTGGCCAGTGACAACTGCAGCAATTTCTGGAGCAACAGACATCATAACAGACAGCCATGCCCTTATTACTTTAAAGCTGAATTGCTGCAATGTGCTATACTTGGAGGTGCCCTAGAATGCTACTCAAAAACTTTAACTGGAGCAAAATGCAGCAGCCGAAATATCTATGGGTGAGACCTGCTTCAGTAGTGTAAAACCAATTTTGTGAGTGCTTCATTGGCTACTAGTTTATTTCTGAATAAAATTCAAGATACTACATGTAGTACATTTACATTTATTACATGTAAAATCTTACATGGCTCAGGGATAAGTTACATACAAGCCCATCTATTCCAGACAGAATGTACCTCACCCAATTCAATTTACCTGAGAGGATGGTCTGGATTCTCTCTCCTCAACAGGTTAAGGGGATGAGCCAGGAATATGCTGCTTATGGAGATCTGTAAGGCCACAATACTCCTGTCATTCTACAGAAGAACTAAGACCTGGCTTTTTAAGAAAGCATTTGGGGATTAAGAACAATGCATAGGATTGTTTCTAATACCAACTGATGTTAATCTTTAATGCTTATTATTATACAAGACAACCCGTGACCCACTGGGTCATCATTTAAGAGATATTTCCTTATTTAAACAGAAAAATAGAATGACCAAGGACAAACAAAACAAAACAGTGGGAGCTTGAGTGACTTATGACTTGCTGCCGGCTTCCCCACTGATTTTGCTAGTGGGAAACTGTCAGAAAACCTTCCTTCCTTCCTTCCTTCCTTCCTTCCTTCCTTCCTTCCTTCCTTCCTTCCTTCCTTCCTTCCTT